CCCCCCAATATCCACCGACTGAGTCAACACGTTTTTGCTTTTTGCCCTCCATTTTATTTTGCGAGAGAAGCTGCAACAGGTCTAGTAATATTGATTGTGAAAGTGTGGGCATAGCCGTGTTGGCCATACTTGTGATTTCTCTGATTTTGTACATGATGAATTCCACTCATCCCGACAATATAGATGTAACCACACTGGCATTGTCATCAGATTTACACTGGACTGCGGGAACGGAAGGTGGTGTTGAAGTCTTGCTCAAAGTAGGCAGATTTGTTTATTGGTGGGTATATTGAGTGCACCAGATATGCAGGTAATGTCATAAATTGATGGAATTCACCAGATATGCTGGTACTGTCATAAATTGATGGTATGCACCAGCTGGTGTTGGATGCAGTTTTGGCTGTTTGCCTCGGTTTGGCAGATTTAAGTTACTTGCGAGCAGTTCACCAGAGACGCACTTGTTCTCTGTGTGTGGTTGTGGTTGGCTTCCCCTGCTAGGGCATTGACTTGATTTTTAATTGTTATTTCCGGTGGTTTTGCAAACATCTGAGCTCTGCTGGCAGTATATCTAATCACTCTCACTGCTTCTGTGCTAGGGCATTGATTTGATTTTTAAATGTTATTCCCAGACACATTCATTCTCTGTGTCTGTGTTTGTGGTTGCCTTCCCCTGCAAGGGCATTGACTTGATTATTAATTGTTGTTTCATCTGAGCTCTGCTAGCAGTATATCTAATCACTCTCACCGTTTCCCCTGCTAGGTTATGGACGTGATTTTCAATTGTTATTCCCGATGTAATGAAACCAGACTGGAAGATCTGCACAATGTCTCCTGTAATCGTGAAAGTGAGATCTGATACAATGTCTCGTTAGCAATACACGAAGAGAGTGGAGGGGGAATAGACAGATGAGAGGGTGGAAGAGATAAATCAGTGACCACAAAAAAGTAGCCCAAACATTACCCACTCCTCCGGGCTTCCCCTCGCCTCCACGTCACCAATCAATGCCCAGTAACAAGTCGGACAAGTCCTGATCACATAGAAGTGTCACGTGGCACTGTCATCTCATAGAGACAATGAAGACAAACAACACTGTGCGGTATTTTGACGTCAACCTCAGGTGAGTACCAATTCCCAATCATCCACAGATCCTTATCTCCCTCCTTGTTGCGACCAAACACCTCATGTAGACAGGGTGGCCAGTGCCACGTCATCAATAGAGACAGGTTGCATGGGCCACATCAGCAATGAAGACAGATGGCCTGCACCACATCAGCAATGTAGACAGTCGGCATGCGCCACATCAGCATTGTAGACTGGTGGCCTGCGCCACATCAGCAATGAAGATAGATGGCCTGCACCAAATCAGCAATGTAGACAGGTGGCATGCGCCACATCAGCAGAGGCTGGCGCTCAGCAGAGAAGGCGCCAGCATGCTGCCGCAGTCCCACATCGTCGTCCACAGTACCAGCGCACAACCAGCATCAAGTCAGCGTCCAGCCAGCGTTGAGCCAGCAACTAGCTAGAGTCAAGCCGGCGTCGAGGCAGCATAGGAAGACTGAATGTTTACCTCCTGGAGACCAAGCCTTATGTAGTGTTTGACGAGGCAGTCTGGCATCAGATCTCCCTCACACAGTCGCACAGATTGACTTACAGCTGAGGGCCTGGATTGTGTACAGTTGCAGACTTCCACTTGGTCCTGATGCTGTCTGGGTACCTGCATACAAACAAGTGTGTGCGTCTGACTGGCGGCCTGGGATGGTTCCATTTTGACTTTGACTGTTGGACGTCAGGCAGTTTACTTTGGTCAACTGTCGCCCGCTCAGGCCCTGAATCGACGTAGGGGTCTTTTCTCCCCTTCAGCCTGGGTCTGAGTGGTGGCCTGGCGAGTCCCTTAGACATTCCACGAGGCATACTGCATGTGTTATTGCACCGACGTCATTGGCAAACATCTGAGCTCTGCTAGCAACGCAGGTCTACTGTGTATAACACCTAAGAAATGAACTGTCTTGCTTTCTTGGTGTTTTATGTATATTGCAATTGCAACTTGCTCATCTGGACACTTGCCTTTGTTTTGTTCTCTTCCATGTCTGTTTGGTTTATATTGTCATTCTGAAACAGCTGTTTCTTTGCTTGTTTGCTGATGGTTTTTGTGCACTGGGGGTATTGTGCAGTATGCCAGGAGTGACGACTGGACAGGTTTGTGTGACTCGCTGGGAGACAAATTGGCTATGAGAGGGGAAAATCATGCGGCGGTCCTCTGTTACATCTGCGCGGGAAATATCGACCGTGCAGTGCAGTTATGGTCCTGCAGTTTGGACGGAGAAGAACCGTTTTACAGGCCAGTCGGTGCTTTGCAGGTGAGAGCATGATTAGCGAATGCCCTGGTGATTGAGATGGTAAACAAATTGGAGAACAAGTTTGAGAAGAAAACAAAAGAGCTAAGCGTTCTGGCCCCAAAAGACATGCAGTCTTCCTCTCTGTTCATTTGGCCCTCCCCTCTGTGAATGCTTAAAACCACCAGTACCCCACCCAGGCACAGGCTGGGTGCAGCCTCAGCAGAGGATAGGTGGTGGTTTGTTTTTGAAATGACAAGATGCGATCACAGAAAGATGATTCATGAGGAAGGGGAAAAAAAATGAAAGGAAGGAAAAAGGGGGGAAAAGTTTTTGGAAACAGGACATGGCACGAGCTTCAGGAGCAAAAGCAAAGGATTTCGTTGTGGCTGCACTTCTCAACTGTGCGATGAATTCTTGCCTAGAACATGGCTGGATAGATAGGAAATGGTATGAACCACAGTTCATCACCAATGAGTGCACACAATCGCACCACATGGATGTATGAGATCACACGAATTTCACACTGGAGGCCAGAGAGATGAAGACCAGGTAGCGCAGGTTATGAATTCCAACAAGTTATTACAAGAGCAATAAGAGTTCAAGTCACCAGCACTCATCAGCGCATACTAAAAGTAACCAGTAACCAGCAAAAGCTCTCAGGTAAGTATCTCTTTCCCACTTCTCTTCTCTTACGTATCTCTCCCCCTCGTTGGTCTTCTCTCTAGCTGTCCTCGGTGTGTCTTCTCTCCCTACTTGTTTGTACAGTCGTTAACTTCTACTCAAAGATCTACTCTGAATACATTCACTGCTGTGCCCACTGACTCCCTATTAACTACCACTAACACCCTGCACTGGCGCAGCTATGGCTGCCTTCTCCCTGCCAGCACAATCTCTTCCTCTCTCTCTCTCTCTCTCTCTCTCTCTCTCTCTCTCTCTCTCTCTCTCTCTCTCTCTCTCTCGCTCTCTCTGTCTCTCTCTTTTAGCGCGGCATCCTGGCTCAGAGCTCTGCCCCGCACTACAGCGCACAAGTGCACCAGCACTTCCACGCTTCTTGTGAATGAGCAATCTGCTGTAGTCTTGGATTGCACTTCAACTCGCGCCAGCCTCTGCTTCTTGGGTCTGACTGGGTTCTGGTACCACACCCCCACGGTACCACACCCCCACGGCCTGTCTGCTTTCAAATGTCAGGGCCTGGAACCTTCCCGAATTTCCACTGGGCTGCTGCTTGGTCCTTTGAGTCATGACTTTTCGATCATGGCATATCGTTTTGACTGTGGACTGTGACTCCTGCCTCGGGGACCCCTAGACTTTTTTTTTTTTTTTTTGGATTATCATAAAATTCAATGAGAATTGAATATACTATTGTAATGTTTTAATCTATTATAATACATTAAAAATTATGTTCTAATGAATCTAATCTACATTTGCCTGTGGAACTGTCCTTTTACTCGGGGGATGTGACTCTTCAAGATGACTTTCCATTATGAAATGTGATTCTTGCCCATCGGATGTGACTGCTTGCTGGTCGCCTGTTGGACTGGACTGCTGAGGTACCCGACTGTGACTACTCTGAAATTGACTGACTTCGGCCTTTTGTAGCCAGGGCCTCTGACCCTGAGACCCGAATTTGGGGTCTGAATCGTGGAAAGCGTTTCAGAAAACTGCCTTGCCAAAGGATGACACACATAAATCGAGAAATGGTCCAAAAAAAAACTGCGCTGCATTTTGTGCGTTGCTGACAGTGGAACGCTACTAAAAGGGTCTTTACCCCAACACAAAGGGGGGCCCTGTCGGCCAGAACTTAATTTCACGAGCAGCATTCCAAAAGACAAGTTCCCTGAGGGAAATGTCGCATCCAGAGTGAGAAGCAAAGTCGTTTTGAAAGTCACCGGCAGGTCCTAGATGAACAGGTACTGGGTTCAATTTTAAGACTGGGACAGGGTCATGTCTATTCGGCAACAAGTGCAAGGTCGCAGTCCCAGACCAGTCACAGTCCCAAGGGTCAAATCTGATTCAGACCAGGAGTCCAAAAGACAGGCTCGTCGGCCAAAGCAGCAGCAGACCATGGGAAAGGATACTGGGACACACACTTTGCAACAACAGGTACTGGGTTGGAGTCCCAGGCACTTGGAGGCTGGATGCAGACCACGCCAGACCAGTCCAGTACTATAAAGGACTGGCCAGCCTGCCATTTGGACAGATACTCGTTCGCATGAGAGTGTGGAAGTGCTGAGGCACTGGTGCGGCAGATGTGATTGAGCTGAGCCAGGCTTCAAAACTGCGCTGAAGTGAGAGAGAGTTGGGCGCTGGCTGGAAGAAGAGCAGCCATAGCTGCACCAGCGCCAGTTAGGGAGTGTGCATGCATGGTGAGTATGAGTAGTATTCAGAGTAGAACCTCGTGTTATAGGGAGTGTTCATGCATGGTGAGTATGAGTAGACCAGGGCTAAAGTCATTGAGAGAGAGAGAGAGAGAAGTGAGCTATGGTGGAACTTACCTGCTGAGCGCTGTTCTTGATGATTGGCTGCTGGCACTCTTGTTGGATGAAGAAGACTTGTGATATTGTTGGGCGCTATACAATTTGAACTCGTGATTCCCTTTCCTTAATCTGGTTGTGATAATTGAGTTACGCTTCCTGGTTACCACTCATCTTCCATTGAACTTCGTGTGAGACAATGCAATCTGTGTGATATGAGTTAACATCCATGCTATTTGGTACACTCCAGCAAGTGATGAACGGACAAGTTCCTTGCAATTTTGGTATCGGAGTAGAACTTGTTACTCCCACTGGAATACGCTAGCATAATCTAGGCCGGCGAGAAGAAGAAGGCTGGCTTGAGTATTGCTGGCGAAGAAAGAAGTGAGTATAGTAGTGAAGATAGGATTAGACTGGTAGTTGTGTCAGACTGCCAGGTCAGATTGTAAGTGGCCTGTGAGCATAATCAATCTGGGATCAATTTGATCTGTCCTGAAGAATAATTTCAGTGTTTCCCAGCTACCTACACTAAATTAGTAACTGAAAAGCATAAAGAAGGGTAACAGTGAAGTGACAAGACAGACAACAAGCAAACAAAAGAAAGAAACGAAAAAAAAGTTCTTACTTTGCATTTGATTAGAGAAAGTTGTATATTAATTTGCATTATTAAAATTCGTTATTCTGAAGCAGCGACATCCGGACTTAAAAAAAAAAAAAACAGACAGATCCCATCCACTGAAGTGGACTAGGGTTCGGGGTAGGTACTTGGTGGTCCAGCGGAGGTCATTCCTGTGCTGTTCCCCACCATGGATGACGACCCATGTACAGGGAAAACGAAGCAAGGGATATCGGCGGCAGAGTAGGCTGAGGTAGATCGCCGCTTGGCCGAGAAACAGTAGCGGTTAACGACCACTTGAAATTTCAGAATGAAAGATTCTAAAGTGGTTTGAAACCGTTGACATGGCCTGAAGACACCAAGTCATTTCAGAAGTTTCGGGTGGTTTGGAGGATAAGTTTTATGTTGTTGTTTTTTCCTGCCTGTTTTTTCATCCATTTTAGGTCGTTTCAGCAATTTTAGGTGGGACATGAAACCGCTGAAGTGGGGCTGAAGCTTCTGAAAGTGTTTTCAGGTACCCCCATCTTAATGGTTGGATGGGGGTACCTGAAACCCCTTTTAGAAGCTTCAGCCACTTCAGGTCATTTCAGGAATTTCAGGTGGGGACCTGAAACCGCTGAAGTGGCTGAAGCTTTTGAAAGGGGTTTCTGGTACCCCCATCCAACCATTTGGATGGGAGTGCCAGAAACCCCTTTTAGAAGCTTCGGTCACTTCAGGTCATTTCAGGAAGGTGAGGACCTAAAATTGCTGAAGTGGCGAAAGCTTCTGAAAGGGGTTTCAGGTACCCCCATCCAACCGTTTGGATGGGGGTACCTGAAACCCCTTTCAGAAGTTTCAACCACTTCATGTCATTTCAGGAGTTTTAGGTGGGGACCAGAAGTGGCTGAAAGTCATCTGTAAATAGTGTGTGTTGTTAACCATCTCTCTCAGGGCCTAGCTCCACCACTCAATGGTACTCACCAAATGTATAACAGTGGAATGAATCTTCTGCTAAAGCATGGAACCATACACCATCATGTGGTATGTGTTTTGTGCATGTGGTGAATAGTGACGAGAGGCCCCTTGGGCCACTGTAAGTATTCAAGAGAAAACAAAAGAAAAAAAACGAGAGCTACAGGCATTTGTACCATACTTGCGGCGCACCGATGCGCTGCGCTGCGCAATGCGTCGTGCGCGACTCGCAGTGTGCGCATTGGTGTGCAGTGCGGGATGCGCTATGCGGTGCGTTTCGTTCCAGTGTGGAGTGCGCCGGTGCATTGGTGCGCGTGCGTGCCACGCGCGTTTGCGCGCACGGTGCGTGCGGGGGGGTCGTGATTTTTTTTTTTTTTTTTAGGTCGTACAGTGATAGTCCATGATATATAAATTAAAATAATATAACATAATGTCATGAATTCATGATATACATTATATAATATATTGTTACACTGTGGATCGGAGCGCAATGGCGAAAAAAAAAAGGAAGGAAAGCTCCGCCTGTTCCTCACCTCTTACGTATAAGGCCAGCCACGTGCATGACAGGTTGGGTGCTGGCTGCCAGCACGCAGGCAAAAGGCAAAGAGGTAAGGAAAAGGAGGAAATCAAACCTCACCCTGCTCACAGGGAAGAATGACACATCCCACAGATCAACGATTCAACATCCTTGTTCTTTTTTCTTGTTTTTTTTTTTTCTTTTGCTCTTTTTTTCTTTGGCAGCATGCGGAACTCACATGTTGGTCGTGTTGCACGTGCAATAGCGGCAGCAGGCAAAAGGCAAAGAGGTAAGGAAAAGGAGGAAACCAACCTCACCCTGCTCACAGGGAAGAATGACACATCCCACAGATCAACGATTCAACATACTTGCTCTTTTTTTTTTTTTTTTTTTTTTTTTTTTTTTTTTTTTTGGCAGCATGCGGAACTCACATGTTGGTCGTGTTGCACGTGCAATAGCGGCA